CGACATGGCTGGGTGTCGCAAACAATGGCGCTCATGCACCGCCTCATTATTCTTGTAACATCGGTCTATATGGTTTCTCTATCTTCCGCTTGAATTTGCTCCCAACATTCCAATGATCATTCAACTCTTTTATCCAAATAGGACACCAAAAGGCAGCAACCAAAACCGGCTCACGAAAGTCCGGGGTTAATGATTGTAAAAACTGAACTGAACTGATAGTTACCAAGAAATTGTAAGCTGGGTAAACCACATGCTAAAGATAATTGACCGAGGTAACCTCTTACCGATGCTTGGTGCTATCTGTTTCTGATTAATGGATATGTATTCTATCTCCCTCCCCCCCCATTTAATTTAGAAGCAGTTGGTGAATTCAAACAAACAATAAGTAAAAGAAACAGTTTCGCCAACCCGTTTTTCTATTACTCAACTCTGAGTGATGAAAAATACAAGGATCGAAATCCATACTCACGAGGACCTTCTGGATGGTCAGGGAAAACATGAACCCAAGTCCTTAGACTAGGATTACGGAAATGTATGCAAAGGCGTATAACTGTTGTGTTGGGAACCTTTTACATACTGAAATGGTATGCTGACTTGAGCCCCACTGGAATTAGCACATGAACCTTTATGTAACTCATATCCTACCAAACTGCATAATCAAGTCCTAGACCTAAGAAGCTCTTGACCTCATTCAAGGGGGGTCTGAAACCTCAGCTGTAAAGGATTCTTGTAGCCACATACTAGCTAGGAGACTCCAAAATGTATTGTGTCACTGTGAGCCAGCTCTCCGAGAAGATGATACTAGGGGAAGAAAAAATACACAGTTTTGAGCTCTTGTCTATAGGTGTGATTGATCGACTGCTATGCACGCCGGTGCAATGACCATACTTACTTCTCCAGTGCGTGAGGACAACCCGTTCAACCAATATAAGAGTGCGTCCTCCAGTTGAGAGTTTTCAGCAGGGTTAGTATCCGCATTTGATTCCTTTGCCTTGATGAATGTGTCTGCATTCGTTTCAGGAGTTGGTCTACTTGAGACGGAGGACCGAGTGGGACAGTTTAGGTGATGTAAAAAACATACGGATCAATGCTAGGAACATCCGAGGTAATGACGGTTGATGACTCTTCACTAGCTGAATGCGGTTGTTTCGTATCGGTTGCATTTTCACTGTCAGGGAAGATTAGTGCTTGGTTGGTTGGACTTACCCCCCAAGGCTGGCCAGACGATTCATATAGTAAATGACAGCATTCTATATCCAGATTTTAATGGGGAACACATAGAAAGGGAGCAGGCGAAAAGTTGTTGTGAACCACACTATCGGTTGGTAAAACAAGTAAATTTATGAACAGATAGATATGTTTTGATGAAAAACATGATACTGAGTTACAGTAACTCAACGTTATTGACTAAGTAAAAAAAAATGAATCCATTAAACCTACTATCTTTCGGTCGTACGTTGCACACCTGTTCGTTGTGGCACTTTTATGTGCACAGCGGAGTGATTAGCCCTCAATATTTTATTGCATCGTTGAAATATTGGGTACAGCGCGTAAATCTATACGTGAAATTTCCTTCCGCAGCTACAATTAACATCACATACTGACCTTACTTTCAAGCGACTCACCTCTGTGTGTCCACGAGTTGGATTGATAGATAAGTCTGCAAAAACCTGGGCAAGGCAGCAAAGAAATCATCCCCGGTGCTGCTTGATTATTTATTCTATGTACTGTAATTCTCAACAAACATTTTCACAGTGCAGTCCTATGGATAGCATCGAGGGTTGCCTGGATGCCAAGAAACAAAATTATCGTTTGGCTCTAGCTAATATGACGGCGCTGTAGCAACCGTCGGAAGCCAAAGGAGTGAACGATACATCCACGAATGGGGCGAAACCCAGCCGGCTCTTCGCAGGTCTGCTCTTCAGACAATCAGTTTTTTTACTATATACACTTTTTACATGATGAACGGCAGAAGCGGTGAATCCTATAATCGCGAAGAAATGCTGCTCAGTGATGGGAACCGCCAACATAAGTCCCGGAACTTCGAAAGGCGAGCCACATAAGGCCTCAATAAGTTAGGGGTGGCGATGAACCGGACGATAACCAAGCTGTCTACCACAAATCTGTGAAATCGGACGGAAGCCAACAGCTTTGGAGTAATTAGGATTCGGGGTATCTACCTTTAGTTGATGCAGTTACCGCATGGGTGCTTCTTATTGATGGAGACAAAATCGCCCAAACTCCCACCCATCCACACACACATTGACGAGGAGGGGACCTGCATGATGTTTTAAAGGATAGAATTTACAAATATTGAACAGGATTTACTCCATCTTGAAATGAAGCTAGAGGAAGGACGTAAGAGCTCGGCGCTTTGACTTCCCAAAACTTGGAGCCCGTAGCGTATTTTTGCCTCAGAAGGTAGGTATGTCGAAACCAACCAAAGACGGAACTTGTTTCGGAATAGCTAAGCTAAGCTGACGTCGCTGACCAGCTTAAGTGTCCTAAAGTGCTCCAGCCAGGAGAGAGACGTACCGCGCACAATCGGCTGCTGATTGGAATCCAGTCAAGAAGCGAGCGCTCAGCCTTGGAACTTACCGCAATCTAGACACCAGCAACACCGCGAGCTTCGGATGCCGAATCGCCTGACACATGAAGGGTGAAGCGTGAGATTGAGGTTGGTTCAGGAGAACGCAGAGATAATGGAAGTAGGGTCTTGAATTCGTGTTTCGGAGACACAAAATACATCTACATTGAAAGTTTCGAGAGTTTTAGCCAGGGCAGCTTGTTGGCCAATCTGATAGAGCGT